CCAGTCAGAAATGAATGATACACTAACTGAAATGAAGATAATTTACAGGAAGCATCAGTAGAGTAAAGACACTGAGAATCAAATGAGCAATTTGTAATATGAGGAAGCAAAAAACACCCAATCAGAACAGCAAAAAGAAAAAATAATTCAAAAATATGAAGATAGTGTAAGGAGCTTCTGGGACAACTTCAAGCCTACCAACATTTGCATCATGGGGGTGCCAGAAGGAAAAGAGAGAGAGCAAGATATTGACAACTTATTTGAAAAAATAATGACAGAAAACATCCCTTACCTGGTGAAAGAAATAGACATACAACTCAATGAAGCACAGAGAGTCCCAAACAAGATGAACCCAAAGAGACCCCCACACCAAGACACATCACAATTAAAATGCCAAAGATTAAAGGCAGAGAGAATCATAAAAGTGGCAAGAGAAAAGCAGTTAGTTACCTACAAGGGAGCGCCCATACGACTGTCAGCTGATTTCTCAACAGAAACTATGCAGGCCAGAGGGAGTGGCAAGAAATGTTCAAAGTGATGAATAGCAAGGACCTACAACCTAGATTACTCTACCCAGCAAAGCTATCACTTAGAATTGAAGGTCAGATAAAGAGCTTCACAGACAAGAAAAAGTTAAAGGAGTTCATCTCCACCAAACCAATATTACATGAAATGTTAAAGGGTCTTCTTAAAAGAGAAGGAAGAGAGGATCAAAAATATGAACAATAAAGTGGCCATAAATACATATCTATCAATAATTGAATCTAAAAATCAAAATAAATGAGCAAGGAATCTAATGAACAAAATAAACTGATGAATAAAATAGAATCAGATGCATGGAAACATGGAACAGACTGATGAATCTCAGAGGGAAGGGGGTAGGAGGGGCAAGAAGAGATTAACCAAGGAACGTATATGCATTACCTGTGGTCACAGATAATAGGGTGCTGAAGTCCTGGGGTGGGGCAGGATCTGGGTGAAGGGGGTACTGGGGGGCAGAGGGGACATCTGTAATATGCTCAACAATAAAGATTTTTTAAAAACTAATTTTACAGAGTAAAATTTATGGGCCTTAAATTTTAACCACACATCATGATTAGATGAATGAACCAAAGATTGACATATCTTTCTGTTTATTGTATTTTTTTTATAACAGAAATTTGTTTCCCAATAATTGCACTTGATATAGGGTTGATTTCGGGTGGGGTTTTTTACATCATTGTTTAAAAAAAAAATCAAAATCGGAACCACTCTGCATTCCATGCAGATCACCATGGAAGGTCATAAAGTTTAGTAGAGATGCCTCTTTCTTTCCTGACCTCAAACAGAAAAGTACGATGTCAGGTCATAGGCTCATGGATTGCAGGGCCCACATCTGGGCACATTTGGTCATTAGGGAAAGGCACTAGTCAATGCTTTCTGACAATGACAAAAGTATAAGTAAAGAAACTAGTACAGAGATCATGTCCGATTATTTGCTTTGAATGAGGATATATTCAATTTACTTTTCAAAATTATTCTTTAGAGCAGTGGTCGCCAACCTTTCAGACCTCACAGACCACCGGTGGTCTGTGGACCACCAGTTGCAACCACTGCTTTAGAGATATAATGTATATTAGCAATATTCATACAATTTTTAATTCAATCAGAAGCAACTATAAAGCTTCCAAAATTTAGTGTATTATAAAAATAGACTTTTTTTGGAGTCTGAAATAGTTTTTAACAGTATTTTCTCAAACTTTTTGACCATAACCCACAGTAAGAACTATGTTTTACATCATTACCAGTATACGCAAACCTATGCATTTGAGTGTACAGTGGGGCCTTGACTTACGAGTGTCCCAACTAACGAGTTTTTTGAGATACCAGCTGTCTCTCGGCCGATTTTTTGCATTGAGTTGATAGAGTAATTTGAGTTAACGAGCTCCTTAACTAGCTCGGTCTCGGAACGAATTAAACTCGTAAGTCAAGGCCCCACTGTATATATAATTGATACCGTCGATATATTTACTGCAAGCAATGCAATCAGATATTTTCCATTACCTTTTTGTTCACTGTTCATATTTTCTTTGCTGTATAATGCATAGCAGTTAAAAGTTAAGTTTCTACAAGTACACTTCTCATGCCACACCCACTGTGATACATTATGGGGGCCCACACATCAGAAACCGCACTTGATCGGCCTGGTCAATGCTGGAAGGCAAAGGTAGAGAGGGAAGGGCTTGACTAGTGAGAAGAAGGACCATTGATAAAAGCAAAATTCAGAATCCTGAATTGAGCCTCAGGTGTGTTAGTTGGACTTAATTCAGGGAACCTTCCCCCATTGGCTGTGCAGGAAGCTACATCTGGAGACTCTGCCCTAAGGAAAACCCCTCAGGAGATGGATTCAGTTAAAAAACAGTTTAGAAGTGCAGCATAGTTGTGCTGCGTAGATCATAGTCTGTTTCTTTCAAATACAGAGTTCAAGATGCATAGGGACAGGGATTCCTGCCATTGAAATGATTACATTTTTCCTTGCAGGTATCAAAAATACGGCTAGATCACAGCTGAACTGTAACAGAAGTGCTTCTCTGTCAAAACAAAAGTGAGTTCCCTTTCGGATTAACTCGGAGCAAACAATACACACTCTCATTTTAGTTGTGCAGCTATTATACTATTAATATAATTTTAAAGCAATTTGTTGAAAAGATTAGAAATATTATTAGTTTCATTTTTATCAAACTTTGACATAAGGATATGGTAAAATCCTGTATTTTTACATTTTAAACAGACTTTAGATGACTGATTTTTTTTTTACAACTCTCCACTGACCCACCTTCCTCACCTGAATTTTTCCCCAAAGAGCAAACACTGAGTTTTATCCCAAAAAGCAAACCATTTCTAAATTAATAGTGTTTTATTCCCCCTGGAATTTATTTCTGTTTCTGAATAAAATGCATATGCTTGCTGTTCCTTCTTTTACCCATTTTAGATAGTACCTGTTGTTGCTATCATTGAAGATAAAAACTTGGGAGGTACATTGTTTTTTGAGACCAGACATGTCTTTTTTTTATGATTTCACTCTTAGTTTATGTTATCAGGATATATATGTTTGTGGGTTGGAAATAATTTTCATTTGGACTTTTAGGCCTATGGCTCCATTTTACTACAGTTTCCATTTGATTTCTAATGTTTTCATTGCTCCAATCCTCAGAAACCTATTGGACTTTTTAAAATCTTTATTGTTGAAAGTATTACATGTGTCCCCCCAAAGTCAAATCTTCTGTCATCTTATATTAGGAGTTCCTTCTCCCCCATTCCTTTCCCTCTGTCAGCCACCACGCTGCTGTTCTTGTTCAGGAGTTTCAGTTTTACATCCCATATATGATTGAAATCATATGGTTCTTAGCTTTTTCTAACTTATTTCACTTAGCATAAAGTTCTCAAGGTCCATCCATGTTGTTGCAAATGGCGCTATTTCATCCTTTCTTATGACTAATATTCCATTGTGTATATAGACCACATCTTCTTTATCCAGTCCTCTAGCATGGGACACTTTGGTTGTCTCCATATCTTGGAGACATATCTTGGCCACTGTGAATAATGCTGCAGTGAACATAGGGGTGCATATCTTTGTGAATACATGATTTCAAGTTTTTCAGGTATATACCTAGGAAAGGATTGCTGGGTCGTATGGTAGCTCTAGTCTTAATTTTTTGAGGAATCACCAGGCTGCTTTCCATAGTGGTTGTACCAGTCTACATTCCCACCAGCAGTGAATGAGGGTTCCCTTTATTCCACAACCTCTCCAACACTTGTTATTGCTTGTCTTATTGATAATGGCTACTCTAACAGGTGTGAGGTGGTATCTCATTGTAGTTTTTTTAAAATATATTTTTATTGATTTCAGAGAGGAAAGGAGAGGGAGAGAGAGAGCTAGAAACATCAATGATGAGAGAGAATTATTGATCAGCTGCCTCCTGCACACCTCCTACTGGGGATCAAGTCTACAACCTGGGCATGTGCCCTGATGTGGAATCAAAACGTGACCTCCTGGTTCATAGGTTGATGCTCAACCACTGAGCCACGCCAGCTGGGCTTTCTAGTTGTAGTTTTGATTTGCATTTCCCTAATTGCCAGTGAGGTTAAACATCTCTTCATGTGTCTATTGGCTGTTTGTATGTCTCTTGGGAGAAGTGTATTTTCAGGTCCTCTGCCTACTTTTGATTGGGTTGTTTGTTTGGTATTGAGTTTTATGAGTTCTTCTTATATTTTGGAGATAATACCTTTGTCTGAACTACTATTTACATATATCATCTCCCACTAATTTTTTTTAAATATATTTTATTGATTTTTTACAGAGAGGAAGAGAGAGAGATAGAGAGTGAGAAACATCGATCAGCTGCCTCCTGCACATCTCCTACTGGGGATGTGCCCGCAACCCAGGTACATGCCCTTGACCGGAATCGAACCTGGGACCTTTCAGTCCACAGACCAACGCTCTATCCACTGAGCCAAACCAGTTCGGCTCACTAATTTTTTTTAATGCCAGATTTACAGAAACATATTTGCTTCAGATGTTAAATATTTACAGTGATAATATTATTTTCTTATTGCTCTTAGAGAATTGTTGATTATTTCAGCTTACAAATTTTGAGGTAAAGAATGATTTGGTTAATCATATACTAGAAATGTTGGGCAGTTTGCAAATAGTAGCCCAATAAATGGTGTGCCCTATTGTTATCAGAGAAATGCCTGGATGGCCTTTCTCTGTTGCTAGCAGGAAGAGGACACTTATCATCTCAAGAAAAAGAACTTTGAGACTCACACAGGAGGACGAGTGCTCTTTATTTGTGTAGAGTTACATCTTTTCCAAAGTCCCATTTCTTTAATCTAGTCCTGGAAAATAAATATGCAGCTGGGGATTCAGTGGAGCTAGAAGCACAGCCAGCGTCCAGTTTCCATTCCATGGTGGAGCTGGGTCTGGTTTAGCAATAGGCTGGTTGCACATTAGTCCATTGTATGGCTCACATAATCCGTGAGCCACATGGGCGAGTGCAGGAGCGTGAGAGTCCCACAAGCCAGGAGTCAAGCGCAAGCAAGGAAAAGCTTACAACCCAACAGCAAGAGGGCAAACTCCTTTGTTTAGGGGATTAAATATCCTAAATCTTCTCGGGCCACTGACCTGTTGCCAGGTGTGACTAACAAGCAAGTACTCCCCTAAGTCACCCAGTCTTTCCTGGGCGTGTGTTAGTTACACTGCAGCTTTGCCAGGAAGCTGCATACAAGTGTCATGCCTATAAAATTTGGCCTTTCCGTGTTCCTTTCTGTTCATTTACTATTATCAGTTAATTACAATAGTATTGCAATCACTTGGCAGGTGACATCTAGGACCCTGTCCCTGGTTCACAGAATTACAGACGCAAGGAGAGTGAAGAGAGAGGAGAGAGATAAAGGGAATGGCATCACATGCTTCTTCCTGTGAGGCCTGTTATGTGTATAATTTTCCCAGTAACTCCATAATGCAGCCATAAGGAATCCATTACCAAAGGGAACCCAGACACTGAGGTGTTAATGAGGGAGGAAAAAAGCAGAAAATGAATCTGACCCATGGCTACATTGCCAGTAAGTGGCAGAGCCAAGTTTGAAATCCTTATTTGTTCCGTGATATCACACTGCCCCCTGCACCACAGTGTATAGTGTCTTAGCTTTATCCAGCATTGGAGACAAAGAAGGAAAGGGAGGAGTAAGGAGACGGGAACGTTGTCAGTCAAGACTTCTTTGTGAATAAAATTTGATCCTATTGAGAATTGTGTGGAGGAGGTATCAGAATCCTGTGAAAGAGGGTTGTTGCGTTAAGTGACATTTAAAAGATTTTTTTAAACGTTTCTACCGCACATCAAATCTTAAAACAGGTACGGTGTCCAGATTTTCATATTAGGGGTTGGGTTGTGGCTCTCACTTTAAAAACTCTTTCTGAACTTTGTGTTATGTCTTTAGAGAATGACCTGTCGTTGAGGTTGAACTTGGATCCAAGACTCTGTCTGGATTCGGATGATGAAGCAGACCTTGTCAAGGAACTTCAGAGTATGTGCTCCAGCAAATCTGAGTCTGATATAAGCAAGGTAAGCAGCACAAACAGGGAGGACGTTAAGTGACTCCATCCAGCAGTGGAGAGACTTCTTGGAGCTACATTATAATGCTCATTCCCTGAAAGAAGTCCCTTAGGGAACAGCGTGGTTAATGCTCCAGATCAGAGCAGCGCTTGCCTTGCTCTGAAAAGCCCTTTTTTCCAAAATATTATTTATGCAATAGGGATCTCTATTTAAGCACAGATTGCTTTTCTAAACTCTGAAAAACCTGAAGCTAAAATTGCATGTGTTCATTATGTGTTCATTATAGCTCAAATCACACCAGCACCTTTGTGCAGCATTGGGTTAAGTCTATTCGTTCCCTAACGTTGGCAGCAAGTCAACTATCAGTAAGAGCATCACAGAAGGCGGAGCAACTGCAACCACTTTCCTTACAAATAAGAAACATAATTGGCCTGTATCATGTCCATAGTCATAGTCTTTATGCTGTGAAAAGTGAGATCCAGGTATGGGTATGTATCAGTGACCCACAATCTGAAAGAAGGCATTAATAGCATAAAGTGCAGCCTGTTCAGGCATGCCGATATCTGCAGCAAATTGGACCAAAATGCCTCGATAAATGCCTTTAAGTTGAGAGGGAGCATAACTTGTGCAGCTTCCACTGGAAGACTCAACTATAATATTTCATGAGTTGTAATCTCTAGGCCAAAGTAGCATTGACTCTCTTATTTAACTTTGCTGAAAATGAACTGAAATACTTATGCCCTTGGAAAATAAGGTAACGATTAAAATTTTGCAGTTTTTATATCCTTTCGTTTTTTTGCCAAGTGATTTTATTTTTCTTTAGGGCTCACTTGGTCATTTTTGTACTTTTTAAGTAAGCATTCCTCCCTTAGGGCAGTGGTTCTCAACCTTGGCTGCACATTAGAATCACCTGGGAATCTTTTTAAAATCCTGATTTCTGGGCCTCAACCTCTGAAAATTCTGTTTCTTTGTTACTAATGTTGTGGCCTCAACATTAGTAACAAAGAAACAGAATTTTCGGAGGTTGAGGCCCAGAAATCAGGATTTTAAAAAGATTCCCAGGTGATTCTAATGTGCAGCCAAGGTTGAGAACCACTGCCTAAGGGAATGTTTCTCATGCATTTGCTGTTAACTCACATGAAGGCTTCAAGTCTGCCATGGGAACAGTACAGGTCTTGAGGGTACGTTCTGCAGAGCTCCTGTCCGTAGATGAAAGAAGAGAAAGAGAACACTTCTGCTGCTGCTTTTCCATTGACTTTAAATTGTGCCTTGAGTGTTACAGTCTAACTGTGAAACACGACTTGATTCATAGTATATTTTCCAGATTGCAGATTCCAGGGATGATTTAAGGAGATTTGATAGTCCAGGAAACAACCCTACATTTTCACCAACTGTTCATAATCTAAGAATGCCAGTGTCACAAAAGGTAAGTGTTCATTTGCCCCCAAAATCAGACAAACATGGATAGCTTTGGAATTGACTTCACAAACCTTCTTTCAATGTAAATCACAAAGTTATTTTTAAACCACAGCTATGAAGTGAGAAATAGGATAGAGGTCAATATGTTAATTAGTTAAGCAAAGTTGTAAAGCTTGCTGTTTAGATAACTTGAAAGAATGACCAGAAAAGCATTACTTTTAATCCTCACCTGAGAACATGCTTTTTTGTTTGTTTGTTTTGTTTTTTGTTAATCCTCACCCAAGGTTATTTTTCCATTCATTTTTTTAGGGAGAGTGGAAGAGAGAGGGAAAGACAGAAAAACATCGATGTGAGAGAAGCACATCAATTGGTTGCCTGCTGCACAAGCTCTGACCAGGGCCTGGGCCGGGGAGGAGCCTGCAACCCAGATACCATTGCCCTTGTAGGGTTGCTTCCTGGACTATCAAGTCTCCTTAAATCATCTCTGGAATCTGCAGTCTGCCCTTGACCGAAATCAAACCTGGGACCCTTTGGTCCGCAGGCTGACACTCTATCCACTGAGCCAAACCGACTAGGGCGCATGCTTTTTTTATTACTGATTTCAGAGAGAGAGACTTTAACATCGATGTGAGAGTGAAACATTGATTGGCTGCCTCCCACACTTGCCCAGACTGGGGATCAAACCTCTGACCTTTTGGTATATGGGAGGACACTCCAACCAACTGAGCCACACTGCCCAGGGCAGCAGTACTTTTTTTATATATATATTTTTTATTGATTTTTTTACAGAGAGGAAAGGAGGGGGATAGAAAGCCAGAAACATCAATGAGAGAGAAGCATTGATCAGCTGCCTCATGCACACCCCCAACTGGGGATGCGCCTGCAACCAAGACACATGCCCTTGACCGGAATCGAACCTGGGACCCTTCAGTCCGCAGGCTCTATCCACTGAGCCAAACTGGTTAGGGCTGCAGCAGTACTTTTTGTTAACTTCTGTTTGAGACCTAAAATTATATTCCAAAATGTGGGGTGTCTTTTGAGAAGGTCTCCGTTTGTTTTCATTTGTTTCATTTTAAAATGTATTGTTTTTATTTCATTTGCGAACTTTTATGATTTACTGCATTTTGGAATTTTGAAGTTAATTACAGCAAAGGGCTGAGCAATTAATATAAAGATATTTTATGTTTAAAAACTCTTATTTTTAGCTTAGTTTCTTAACTTGCCTGAACATGCATCATGTTTCATTGAGAGACTTTCCTTAAGTCAGAATGTCACCTAGAAGAGCCAGGATTCCAGAAGACTTCATCATTTACCTCTCTAAATAACTTCCACAATTGGTTTAATAAATTCCAAGAGGCGGACCAGCATGGTACTCCTGGGTGAACAGAAACAATAAACTATTTCTCAGCCAGGAGCTATTTTGTGAGGGTGCTGGTCTTGCAGAGGCATTTAGTAATATGTGGTTTGCTCACCAAGCCATGTCAATTGTGGCTCACACCCTGTTCTCATCCACTCCCCTGTGGCTTCCAGAGGCCTGTGGGGGAGTGCAGAGAGCCGGACTATACAGTGAGGGTGGTGAGACTGTTCCATTATAAATCCTTATCCGATCACCTGGCAGCCTGGGCCCCTGTTCTCTCACTGCTTCACTAGGCTTCGGTTCTGATGAGTTATATGTGAAACTATGTGAGCTGTGTGCGTTGGGGGAAGAGGTGGGGGCCAGGAGGTAATGGCAAGGCTGAGTCCCACATAAAAATGCATAACATGATGACCTGCAAAGACGAACATGCCCTTTCTGGCTCACCTCATTGTCTGCTTTTTTCTTTGTCTTCAATCGAGAACAGTTTGGAAGCACAGCAAAAGCTTGATTTGGAGAGCGCGTAAGGGAGGATGACCTGGAGGTAGCCGGAGGCACTGCTGAGAATTCTGGCTAGAAAATACTTGTTCAGGAGCTGTCCCTGAGCTTTGGCTGGGAGCACATGTCTTGGTGTGCCAGGCCCACTCTTTAGGATTCCTTGTGCAATAGCCAGTGGAAGGAGCCATGAAAGTCTAGGACAGTGATGGCGAACCTATGACACGCGAACTCATTTTTTTGGTTGATTTTTCTTTGTTAAATGGCATTTAAATATATAAAATAAATATCAAAAATATAAGTCTTTGTTTTACTATGGTTGCAAATAGCAAAAAATTTCTATATGTGACACGGCACCAGAGTTAAGTTAGGGTTTTTCAAAATGCTGACACGCCGAGCTCAAAAGGTTCGCCATCACTGGTCTAGGAAGAGGAACAAGGAGTCACTGCTTCTCCACAGGCCGAGTCACTTTCTATATAAAAATGTTGACTGGTAGTGACCAGCTGCCTTTGTTTCAATGTCGAATGGAGACCTAATTTTGTACCTCTACCTCTCTGTCACATGACCCTGTTCAGTTGCTACAATAAGGTAACTATCCATCAAAAATAGTACTGCAAGTGGGATAAGTTCTGGGAAGCTCAGGACAGTTTTGTTTTACTAGGAAAAGGGATATTTTTTGAAAAGTATCCTTTTATACTCGCTGGACTCATAAAAAACAACAACATGTGGTTGTTAAAATGTGATTTGATGTGGGCATTAGGGCAGCAACCCACAGACCACATTTGGAGGGACTTCCCCAATGGCTGGAAGATGTACTTCTAAGAACCTGTCAGCAGAGGGCAGAGTAGCACTCGGCACCCTTCTGACAGCTTGGCAGGCTCACTCACTTTCTATCCTCAGCTGGCATTTCTTGGTTAGAGGCCCAGCTTCTTCTGTTATCAGGAAGCAATTCCCTTTAGAAGAGTTCTCTGGCTTGCTTGGAATCATTTCTACTGTGTGGCCATTATACACTGAAAGACATGAATGAGTAAATTACCCTCCTACTCCTCATTTGCTGTAATATAACCCATTACTGCTCCAGCAAAGAGAGCACGGTGGGCTTCGTTAATTGCATGGCATGTTGGCCACCCTTCTAAATTTTTTTTAACATGCAAACATTTAAATCATCAATAGAATGAGCAGGTACTAACGAATATTTTCTTCGCATGAAAATGCAAATAAATCCCCCTAAAGCAAAAGTTCTTATCTTTGGCTACATAAGGAAATCCATTTGCTATGCTTTTAATCCCCAGTTCCTGAAAGGTTCTGATGTAATTGATCTGAGGTACAACCTGGACATGAGTTTTCTAAAGCTTCCTGGTGATTCTTACGTGCAGCTGGGGCTTGGTTAGATCCATGGCTCTAAAGCAGGGGTCCTCAAACTTTTTAAACAGGGGACCAGTTCACTGTCCCTCAGACCGTTGGAGGGCCGGACTATATTTAAAAAAAAAAACTATGAACAAATTCCTATGCACACTGCACATATCTTATTTTGAAGTAAAAAAACAAAATGGGAACAAATACAGTATTTGTATTTGCATGTGGCCCACGGGCTGTAGTTTGAGGACCCCTGAGCTAAAGCATAGCTCTGATCTGTTATCCTTATTTCCCACCCCATTCCTTTGGGTCCTCCCAAATGCATCTTTAGAAAGGTTGCTGTACCTTCATGTAACTTATTTCTACCTGTAACTTACCATTCCCACACCTATACGTCTCCCTGTCTGTTTACCCTTCTACCCAGGGAGCTCTTTCTCTCCTCTTCACCTGTCACAGCCCTCTCCGTCCTTGAAGCACCATCTCCAATGCCCTTTCCCTACAGTACTTTCTGTTACTTCCTGCCCCCTCCCCTCCCCTCTAGAAAGCAGAGATTATAGCAGCCTTTTCGCTTTCATCAGATGCTCGGTATTGAGTGAATGAATGGTTCTGAGTTAACAATATTTTGTTAAGGCTCTTTATGGACACTGCCTTCCTTGTGTGCACAATATTGACAGTGACTTTATATGTTTCACACAGAGAACTCGGGTTTTAGTGCAGGAAGCATTAAACACCATTAACTTTCCTAGCCCTGGGCTCTGGTACTTCTTAGCTTTGGGGAAAACACCTCGAAACCTGTGCTCGGCTGCCAGAGTGGTAGGAACATGGCTCCGGGTTCTGGTCTTACACTCTCAGCCTTGAATGGATTCATTAGCCTCACTGAGCCAGTGGTTCTCCACGCTCTCATCCCACCTCCAAGGACTGACGCAGACCCACATTCCTATGCTCAGCTTCAACACCCAAACCACGTTTCTAGTTGTTGTGGGTGCTTCTTGGTACTTCATTTCACGGGGGCATTTCCCGCCTCAGACCATAGAGATGCACACCCACCCCTTACCTCTCCACCCCGCACCCCCACTTCATGATGCAGATTAGGAGGCAGACAAGGATACCCTGTGTGCCTTCCCTCTGCCTGGGCCCTGGCACTACCTCTGTGGACTTCCAGAGGGAGGTCAAAGATTGTAGCAAAATTATTTATACTTACACCCGCCTCTCTTCCTCATGGGTTCTGCATACCAATCGCTATCCGTATTATAATGTGCCCTGTCTTCTGAACACTCTGTGTGCTGAATTTGCTGGTGTTTTAGACCAACTTACACATTGGGATGGGCCTTCGTAGGCCCACAGCTAAGTCACATTTTACAGATTTCAGAAGACACGCAGGAGAATCCAACCCCCAGCTCAGGCCCAATTGTTACTTTCCATCAAGTATTTTGCCTGTTAAATTCTAGTTTTGCATGTTAAATCTTTTAAAGATTACCTTGCTGTGTGGTTGTGTTATTGCTTTTAAATTTAAAAAAGGGGAAAGTAATCAGTGTCAATTGCTTCAGAGGCCGTGGAGCGGCTCACTTAGCAACTCACTTCACATTAGCTGGTTGGCAGAACTTCACACACTAGAGGGGCGGACACCTTGAGTGAACCTTAGGAGCCGGAGGCCTTGTCCCAGCTTCATCACTCTGTGGCTGTGGGCAGGTAGTCTTACCTGCCCAGCTCTCCGTTCCCTCCTGGGCAAAGAGAGAGATGTGGACCATGGCTCATCCTCATGAGCGTTCTGAAACCAACACTGGGGAGACGAGAGCAAGCCTGGACGGTCTGGAGGCACCGAGTCATGGGATTGCTGCGCAGAAGCGTCAATCACCATGTCCGCTCCCTTAGGGCAAGGACATTTCTCTTTCGTGTTCGCTGCCTGAATGCCAAGCACCTAGTCCAGTGCTCATCTGCTGGTGAAATGCTCCGAAAATATTTGTTGATCATTGAGTAGTAATCCAGGTTTTAGTTTGCAGATCTGCAAGTGGAAAGCAGAAAAGTTAGGCGACTCCCTCAGAAAAGGGAGGTGATTTGTACAGCTGCCTACCAATAGTCGGTCCCAGTTGATCATTTCTATGAAGCTCCTCTTGCTGAGGAGATCCCAGGCTCTGACACTTGACTCACTGACTCCTGTATCTCGTTTGTGACAGCACAAAGGGCCTGATGAAAATCTGTGGGAAGTTAGTCATGCAGCTCTGTCCATTGCCATTGCCTTTTTTCATGAGAACGTTGTGTAGGGAGAAGCTTCTACATGGGTCCTCGGAAAGAGAGAGAGGAGAACGTGCTCCGACTGGTAATGAAAGTTGGAAGCAGCGTCAAATGTGACAAATTTCTTTTGTTCCTTTTCTCTGACAGGTCAGTCCTCTCAGCAGCCATCAAACCACCGAATGCAGCAACAGTAAATCAGAGACTGAGTTGGGTGATTTAAGAGTTAAATCTTTCCTTCCTGTTCCTAGAAGTAAAGTTACACAGTGTTCCCAGAACACCAAAAGAAACAGCAGCAGCAGTAATACAAGGCAAATAGAAATAAACAACAACTCAAAAAACGAGATTTGGAACTTACACACAAAATGAACACGTAGAAAAATCTAACAACTAGGCCTGCCTACAATATTCTCACTCTTAACTTCTGTAAATTTCAAACAGAAACCAAGGACAACAAGATGTAAATACCTTCAAATGCATAAAATATTTTCACATAATATGAAGTATGAGTGCAGGACCACTATTCATTTTTTGTAAAGAATGTATTTATAACCAATAATTTGTTGCTTTTTTCATTTCTGTAAGATTGAACTTCAATATCAAGAAGTAATGCCAACTTTTCAAGTAGTTTTATAATAGAATTATTGTAATAGTTTTAATCAACATGTTCAGGGAGTATTAAAACAAAACTGTGTGTACTGTATACCTATATATGTATATCTAATTATGTATATATTTAAGAAAGTCAAGGAATCATATTGCATCCTAAAAGTTACAAAATGTGTACAGTGTTGGCTTTGATAAAGTACCATTTTAAATGGAGATCATAATTTTATGTTCACTTGATGAGGAATGACTCAGAATGAGGCAATAACTAATCATTTCTAAACAATTACTTTCCATTAAAAGCCATATTAAGTATTTTGCCTGTTAAATTCTAGTTTTATGTTTTAAATCTTTTAATAGTTACATTGCTGATTGGTTTATCATGTATATTTATGCTTATGAGTTTGCATTATGACTGTAAAATACAAAATTATATAATGCAATAAAATGTTATTCTTTCTTATAAAAGTTTTGTACCTAAGTGGATATGAAAAAGATTACATAAGTGCTTCAATAAATTAATCCAAGAGTTAACTCCCTTTTCAATTTAATTCTGGTAGCATAACTGATACTTTTTAGAACTGTTTCTTCTAAAATTAATGAAATTACTCTTACTTATACAAATCAAAGTTAAGATGCTTTGACATCAAATAAAATATTGAATTAGAGCCTGGCCAGTGTGGCTCAGTAGTTGAGCATTGACCTATGAACCAGGAGGTCATGGTTCGATTCTGGTCAGGACACATGCCCGGGTTTCGTGCTCAATCCCCAGTGTGGAGCATACAGGAGGCAGCTGATCAATGAGTCTCTCTTACTATTGATGTTTCTATCTTTCCCTCCCATCCTCTTTCTCTAAAATCAATAAAAAACATTTTTAAATATTTTCAAAAATACTGAATTAGTGAAATAATTTTGCTGTAGTTTCTATCAATAGCTCATAGTAATTTGTCCCTGCAATAATAGATATTTGTGTTCCAACTTAGGGCATTCATGAAATGTGTCCTACATGTTGGTATTTTACTAGCTGTTCACAAAAGGGCCCACCCGTATTAGATAGTGGGTTTAAATAAAAATAAACATTTAAATCAAGCTCTAAAAATAGGGTGCTCACTGAACAAGCCACCTTCCTTTTTTTTTCTTAGGTATCCCCAAAAAAGTATGATTTTATACTAAGATTCATTTATTTGTCTTAAAAGTATTGAAAGCCCTTTCTTGGTCAGAATGATTTACACTGAAGTACACATATGTGCATTGGTACTATATTAAACTCTAAAGGAATGTCTGCAAGTATCTTTAAAAAAGTCAAAATGTGTAGTTAAGATTATGCCATACATAAGGGGTGACGTGGAAGAAAATCTATCAGGGAAGAATTCTAACTATGTCAGCATTTTGCCTGGGCGTTACCTCTGCAAGGAGAATCTTGGAGTGTATAACTCGAACTGCATGTATAGAGAAGTGGGCAGTGAGATGGATAGGGTGGAGGGTGGCTAGAGCAAGGGACAAGGTGGGTGGATAGAAGAGACTGGAAGGAAATAGTCTTAGCTTAATGATTAGACACTATGTTTTATACTAGAGGCCCGGTGCACAAAAATTTGTGCACTGGCGGGGGGGTGTCCCTCAGCCCGGCCTATGCCCTCTTGCAGTCTGGGACCCCTTGGAGGATGTCCACCTGCTGGCCTAGGCCCACTCCCTGGGAGATTGGGCCCAAGCTGGCAGTCAGACGTCCCTCCTGCAGCCCGGCAGCCCTTGGGGGATGTCCACTTGCCAGTGGGGAGCAGGCCTAAGCTGCAGTTGGACATCCTTAGCGCTGCTGAGGAGGCGGGAGAGGCTCCCACCACCACCACTGTACTGGCAGCCATCAGCCTGGCTTGTGGCTGAGGAGAGCTCCCCCTGTGGGAGCACACTGACCACCAGGGGGCAGCTCCTGCATTGAGCATCTGCCCCCCTGGTGGTCAGTGTGTGTCATAGTGACCAGTGATTCCCAGTCTTTCTGCTGTTAGGGTCAGTTTGCATATTACCCTTTTATTATATAGGATAGAGGCCTGGTGCATGGGTGGGGGCTGGCTGGTTTGCCCTGAAGGGTGTCCCAGATCAGGGTGGGGGTCCCGCTGGTGTGTCTGGCCAGCCTGGGTGAGGGGTTGATGGCTGTTTGCAGCTGGTCACACCCCCTTCAGGGTGGGGGTCCCCACTGGGGTGCCTGGGCCAGCCTGGTGAGGGGCTGATGGCTGTTTGCAGGCTGGTCAAGCCTTCCCCCCAGTGGGACCCTCACCCATGAGGTTTGGTCAGCCTGGTGAGGGCTGATGGCTGTTTTCAGGCTGGCCACACCCCCTTTAGGGTGGGGGCTCCCCACTGGAGTGCCTGGCCAGCCTGGGTGAGGGGCTGATGGCTGTTTTCAGGCTGGCCACACCCCCTTTAGGGTGGGGGCTCCCCACTGGAGTGCCTGGCCAGTCTGGGTGAAGGGCTGAGGGCCGTTTTCAGGCTGGCCAAGCCCCCCGGCGATGGAAGCTCCCAGCCTCTCCTTTTTTTCTTTTTTCTTTTTTTATTCTGGGATTTATTTACCTTCTATAATTGAAACTTTGTAGCCTTGAGAAGAGCTCAGCCAGCCAGGGCGGGCGGGAGGGAAGCCGCCTGCTCACTCCAACTCCGTGGCCACGGCCAGCTGAAAGCAGGTATCTGGGGTTTATTTACCTTCTATAGTTGAAACTTTGTTGCTTTGAGTGGAGCTCAGAGTCCGCAGCGGCAAGTGGGAAGCTTGGCTTCCTCCATCATTGGGGCAACCAAGCCTCCTGCTTGCTCCAGCTCCGTGGCTGCCGGCTACCATCTTGGTTGGGTTAATTTGCATATAGTTGCTCTGATTTGCTGGTGGGCGTGGCTTAAGGCATAGCAACGGTATGGTCAATTTGCATGTTTGTCTTTTATTAGTGTAGATTAGCATCTTTTCTGAAGATTAAGTTCCTATTAAAAATTGATACCTAAAAATCCATACCATTTTTATACACCAATAATAAACTCTCAGAAAGAGAAACTAAAGAAAAATCCCATTTACCATTGCAATAAAAAAAAATTAAGATACTTAGGAATAAACCTAACTAAGGAGGTAAAAATCTATACTCTGAAAACTACAGGACTTTGGGAAAAATAGATAGAGGGAGATATTAAAAAAGTGGAAGAATATGACATGTTCATGGATTGGTAGCATCAACATCATTAAAATGTCCATATTACCCAAAGCAATCTACAGATTCAATGCAATTTCTATTAAAGTACCAACAGCATATTTCACAGACCTAGAAAAAACACTCAAAAAATGTTTATGCAACCAAAAACCCTGACTAGCTGCAGCAATCTTGAGAAAGAACAAAGTTGGAGGAATCATAATACCAGATATCGAGTTATACTATCAAGCCACTGTGCTCAAAACAGCCTGGTACTGGCACAAGAACAGTCATATAGACCAATGGAACAGAACAGAACCCAGAAATCAACACAAGCCACTACGCTCGAATGTTTGACAAAGGGGGCAAGAGCATACATTGGAGCAGAGACAGCCTCTTCAATAAATTGTGTTGGGAAAATTGGACAGGTGCATGCAAAAAAAATGAACTAGACCACCAACTTTTACACCATACACAAGAATAAACTCAAAATGGATAAAAGACTTAAATGTAAGATGTGAAACCATAAAAGTCCTAGAAGAAACCATAGGCACCAAAATCTCAGACATCTCTCATTGCAACATGTTTAATGATACATCTCCTAGGACAATGGAAACTAAGGAGAAAATAAACAAGTGGGATTACGTGAAAATAAAAAGCACTGAAAAATAAACCATCAACAAAGTAACAGTAGACCCCACTACATGGAGAATATATTTGCCAATGATACATCTGATGAGGGGTTAATCTCCAAAATATATAGGGAACAGATATAACTTAACAAAAGGAAGACAACCCAATTTTTAAACGGTCAAAGGACCTAAATAGACACTTCTCTAAAGACACACAGATGGCCAGGAGACATGAAAAAATGCTCAAAGTCACTAATCATCTGAGAGATGCAAATCAAAACAACAATGAGACATCACCTCACACCTGTCAGAATGGCTGTCAGCAACAAATCAACAAACAACAAGTGTTGGCAACATTGTGGAGAAAAGGACACCCTAGTGCACTGCTGGTGGGAATGCAGACTGTTGCAGCCATTGTGGAAAACAGTATGGAGTTTCCTCAAGAAATTAAAAATGGAACTCCCAATTGACCCAGTGATCCTACTTGTAGGAATATATCCTAAGAAACCTGAAACACTCATCAGAAAGGATATGTGCACCCCTATGTTCATAGCAGCACAATTTACAGTAGCTAAGATTTGGAAACAGCCTAAGTGCCCATCAGCAGATGAATGGATAAAAACCTTATGGTAAATTTACACAATGGAATACTACACAGCAATAAAAAGGAAGAACTCTTACCATTTGCAAAAGCATGGATGGACCTGGAGAATATTATGCTGAGTGAAATAAGCCAGTCAGAGGAAGATACGTATCACATCTCACTCATGTGGAACTAATGAACCAAATAAACTGATGGTCAAAAATAGACCCAGAGACATAGAAGCATGAACAGATTGTTGAATCTCAGAGGGAAGGGAGGGGAGGGTGGTTGGGAAAAGATCAACCAATGAACTTATATGCATGCATGCATAACCCATGGACACAGACAATGGGGTGGTGAGGGCCTGGGGAGTAGAGGGCAGATGGGAGCGGGTTGGAAGAGGTTAATGAAGGAAAAAGGAGGACCATATCTATTCTGTCTTAAATAGTCAAGACACTTGAATATCAGGATTCATGAACTCAAATTCTAACCACAAAGCTAACTTAATATCTCTGGGCTTCAA